CATGGGCACAGTTAGCTAGAGGGGTTGCAATTCACAGGCACAGTATTTTGCCCTGTGCCTGATGCTTTTCTGAGCACAGAGGCTCTGCACCGGGCACTCCCTTTAATATCTGCAGCATGGCCCTTCGCTCTCCCTCCACCCCACCCCGGGCTTTAGGGCTGGGTGTGCACATCACACACCTCTCCCTTGGTTGTGTTCACCGTGGCCGTGGTCCCGCTCCATTTCTCAGTGGGGGCGAGGGGGGGGCATATTCCTGGTTGTTTGTTTTTACTTTGCATTCACGGTGGATTCCGCCCTCTCCGTAAGGCTGCCACAGAGACCGGCTGGCTGGATTGATGAACTCCAATCACCCCATGGCTGTCAATCCTCATCAGGCATTCCCCATAGGTCTGGGGCCTGCGCTACTCCCCACCTGCCATGGCGGTGTTGATGCGGTGCTGAAAAAGCCCCTATTTTTCCTCCTCCAGCAGCTCGGTGGAGTCTCCCCTGCAAGGCAGGGCATCCTGCCTCCCAACGTGCGAGCAGACCGTGCGCTGCATAGCAAACGTGAACCACGTTGGCCGTGCCAAAGCAAAAAAGGGACCAGGAGATTAAGGAGGAGCAGAAGCCCTGGTCTCATTTATACTGGCTCCAGATAGATACTAGCATTACGGAGACCAGCATCTGGCTTCTGGTGGTTTCAGCTGGTGGGTTAGGAATCCCTCATTAGAGCACAAAGTGAAGCCATGTTCCATTTGGGAGCTGGGGCTTGCGGCCTCTGGATTCTGGTACAAAGCACCAAACCACTGCACAGAGCATAGTTTGCTCTCCTCTCCATTCGGCGCAAATTAAATTCCTCGCAGCATGCAGGGGTTAATGACTTGAGTTGCCCAGTGATCTTTGGGAGCTAGGGGTCAAGTTCCCAGCATGCAACTTTCTCCATCTCATAATGCCGCCCATAAACCATATTTTTCGTGCTTTTTATTAAAAATCCCACAAGCCTGTGTGGGACTTTTCTGACTCCACCACGTCTGACAGAAGCGTGGAGCTCACAGAGCTCTATGCTGTTCTCATGAACATTGCAAATACAGGATGCACAATTCTCCTGTATTTGTAGCCCCGCAGGGAATACCAGGGGACGTGACCATTTCTTTGAGGACAGTTTGCTGACGGACATAGCAAAAAAACAATTCAGAGATGCTGGTGGCATTCACAGAGCAGCTGCAAATGGTGGAGTCTCACTTCTGGGCCCAAGCAAGGAGCACGGGCTGGTGGGATCACGTTGTGGTGCAAGGAGGACAAGCAGCAGCTACAGAACTTTCGGATGTGAAAGGCCACATTCCTGGAGAGCGGGGTGCCAAGCTTTCCCCGGGCCTCCAGCACAGGGACTCCAGAATAAGAGCTGCACTGACAGCGGAGAAGTGAGTGATGATTGCACTGTGAAAGCTTGCAATACCGGATGGCTCCCGGTCAGCGGGAAATCATTCTGGAGTGGGAAAATCCACTGTTGTCATGCAAGAGCGTGGAGCCATTTGTCATCTCCTGCTCTGCAGGACCGTGACTCTCGACAATGTGCAGGACAGAGTGGATGGATTTGCAGCAATCTGAACTGCAGTGGGGCAGTCGACGGCAGACGTATCCCTATTTCAGCATCTGCATACAGAAAGGGCCACTTTCCTACGGTTATGCGAGTGTTGGTGGATCACCGGGCATGCTTCACCAGTGTCATGTGGGCTGGTCAGAGCATGTACAAGACGCTCACATCTTTAAGAACACAGGACTGTTCAGAGAGCTGCAAGTGGAGACCTACTTTCTCGGCCAGTATATTACCACTGAAATGCCAATAATGGTCCTGGGGGACCCATCCTACCCCTTGCTCCCCCGGCCACCTCAACGGCACCAAGGAATGATCCAACTTCCGGCTCAGCAGGGCAGAATGACAGTTGACTGTGCTTTTGGTAGCCTGAAGGGACACTGGCGGTGTTTACTCACTGGATTGGATCTCAGTGAGAAATATATCCCCACGATTACAGCTGCCTGGTGCGTCCTGCGAAGTGTCTGCGAGGCCAAGGGGGAAAAGCTGGCACCAGGGCGGAGGTGGAGCAGCTGTCTGCTGAGTTTGAACAGCCAGATAGAAGGGGTCGTACGAGAGCCCAGCGGGGAGCTGTGCCATAGAGGGAGGCTTGGAAAGAACACGTTCACTGTCAACCACAGCTGCGTTCTGAGCCGGACTCTTCTCTGGACCTGGAACGCTGGGAGTTGCTAAGAATTGTGCGGTGCTGGCTGTACATTTTCAAGCACTGTTTGCTTTGTCTACGGCTCTGCATTCTACAATATGTGTCATGAACTAAGAAAGACAATTTGATTCTCCAAAAATAGAACTTGATTGATCGGCGGAAAAACAGTGCAGAAAATCAATGGGCACAAAACCACCCTGGCGATGTTTATATACATTTTAACATAAATTAATGTCGTGAAACTTTAAAATAAGCAAAGGAGTAAACGTTTACGTCCATTTGAGTGCACAAATGTCGTCCATTGTGGCTACAGGTACACTGACCTGTGAGAACCATGGCTGGTGTATGTGAAGCTATAGCTTTCCTTGCTGGTCCCTAGGGTGGAGTGGTGGGGGTAGGGATATGGCCTGTGATAGAATCGTAGAACTGGAAGGGACCTCCGCGTGGCCACCCTGCCAAGCCCTCCAGGGCAATGAAAAGCAGATGACAACTGTTGTGCCTCTACCTCTTCTCGTAGGAGTTAAACACTGACAAGTTTGTCTTGTTAAGGTGGGGATGGGCCATCTGTATTTGCAATAATTTCTAGGAAAAACGCATGGACACGCTTACCAAGGTCCCTTCTCCGACCCTGGGCTCATATGCGCTCACCTGGCGGGACTGGCTAGACTGGTGGAGTCTCAAACAGGTCCTGAGGGCTCACGACATGGCTGGACCCCGCCACTGCCTCTTGCCGGGCCCCCTCCTTTTCTTCCTCCTTGCTGTTCACGACAGGGGTCTCTGTCTCGGGCTCCTGGGAGGGGTCCAGGGTCCTCTGCGGGGCGCTGGTGAGGGCTCCACCACCAGGTCTGGCAAGCAGTTAATTGTAAAAGCGGCTGGTCTGCGAGGCTGCCCCAGATCTATCGTTGCCCTCCCTGGCCTAAGTTCCTTCACCTTCACGCGGCATAGCTGCTGCTCATTGTCCTGCCCCTTTGCCCGCATCCCCCGGACAATCTGCTCCTAGGTGCCCACATTTCTACGGCAGGCCCATTACTGGGCCTGTCCAGCCTCTGCTCCCCACAGGCCCAGGAGGTCCAACACGTCCTTTCTGCTCCCACCAGGAGCGGGTCTAGTGCTTGGAGCCGGCGTGGGCAGCTGCACGCAGCGAGGGAGAGCTGCCAGGTGTGCTCACCACGGTGGGTCACCAGGAAAAGGTGTTTCAAAAACACACGTGGCTTTAAAGGGGCGTGGGGGGGGTCCTTCCGGTTTTGACTCTGACCCCTGGGCGGAGGAGTTTAAAACTGTGAGCAGGGCAGTCGCTGTGGCAGGGAATGGGGCATTGTGGGACAGCTGCTGGGGGACTCTCAGGGTTGACACAGGTCGTGCCGTGTCTACACTTGCACTGCGTCAACCACAGTGGGTCAGCCCCAGCTCCACACCTTTCAGGGAGGCGGTTTTACTGTGTCACTTACGCTGACCGGAGCTAAATGTGAGTGTAGAGACGTGCCCAAATAGGGTGACGCATGTCGATGTACAGCAACCTAATGTTGCAGCGTAGTTCAGACCTTAGCTGGACCTCTGGTCCGATCCAGCGTGGCAGTTCCTCGGTTCATACCGTTACAAATGCACCTCTTGTTTCCAATCCAAATTTGTCTCGCTTCAGTGTCCGGCCACTGGGTCTCATTCTGCCTCTTATCTGCCGGATGGAAGAGCTCTCTGTTATCGGAAATCTCCCTCTGCTTCCCAGTAGGTACTTATAGACCTTAATCCCGGCCCCAGTCCTCCTTCTCTTGGCACTAGTGAGATGGTGCTTCATAGGGCTCTGACAGCAAGGCAGGTTTTCCAGTATCCGTGTTTGTAGATTGCTGGGGAGCGAGCAGGTCTAGATTCTCCCCCCATCGGATGCACACTTGGAAAAGTTCAGTTGCTTTAGTGCAATTGGTTCTGTGCCCGTGAGGGTTAAATTCACCCCACAGGGCCTAGACACCCCT